TCAGATGAGTGCTGCAGACTCAGGTGAGTGCTGCAGACTCAGGTGAGTGCTGCAGACTCAGATGCTCAGATGAGTGCTACAGACTCAGGTGAGTGGCTGTCTCTTATACACATCTAGATGTGTATAAGAGACAGGTGTAGAGCACCTCAATAACATGTGTAGAGCGCCTCAATAACATGTGTAGAGCACCTCACTAACATGTGTAGAGCACCTCAATAACATGTGTAGAGCGCCTCAATAACATGTGTAGAGCACCTCAATAACATGTGTAGAGCGCCTCAATAACATGTGTAGAGCACCTCACTAACATGTGTAGAGCACCCCAATAACATGTGCAGAGCACCTCACTAACATGTGTAGAGCACCTCACTAACATGTGCAGAGCAAGAGTGGCAGGGAGGTGCTGGTGTTCCTGCTCAGCGACTTCCTGCTGCTGTGTACGGCTCAGCGCTCCCTCGCCTCCTGCAGCGGTTCCCTCTCTGCCCTCACTCGTGCCCTCAGCACCACCGCTGCCACGCTATATAAAAAGGTGAATATCTATATTAGTATATTATATTATTAATAACTAAAATAATTAGTTATTATATTATTATATTTATCACTAAAATAATTACACTATATCATCCAGTAAATTATTTGGTAGTTCGCCTGACTTCGGTTTAGTACTTCATTTTTATGCAAAATATCTGTGTTCACATTAATTAATCACGAGACTTAATATACCGTGCCTTCCTTTAATACCGTGGCTTCCTTTTTTGAGTCTTCTTCTTCCTATACCTGGAAAAAAATGAAATTTATCCTGGTCTATTTGCAATTAAAATTTTCAAGTATAGTATACTTCATTAATATGCTAGATATCGGTGATCACCTTAATTGAACTGTGCTTCCCCATTAACTGTCTTCACTGTTCACTTGGTATATGCTATAATTATAGGTATTACTCAGTGGCTGTTAACAACATTGCTTTACAAAAAATCAATAATGTTGTTGAATGAAGTTGAAATTTTTGGTGTGGAGTATAAGTAAGTCCACGGACTTTGCTTCTCATATTTAACTATCTTCTTAGTTTGTACTGAAATGATAACATTGAAAGCTTATTAACATGGGCCCGACTATTGTGATACTGTAACTCGTACTTCCATATTGCACTTGATCAACGTCACGTATGATTATGCATCTTTTCAAACATCAAATTATTATGTAAGGAATATTTGTTTATTTAATATTATTCTCCACCAAACTTACATTTTTAATGCACTTTAGGCTGTTATTCACATTCGGACTGGCTACCGACTGGGCAAATTTATGCATTGCGTCAATAGACCCGATGCTCACGTAATATTCTATTTTGAACACATTATAATTTCATGTCAATTTATTTTAATAATAACTTATGATCGTTAATAATAATAACTTATGATTGCATAAGTTTAATAATAACTTATGATTGCATAAGTTTAATAATAACTTATGATCGTTAATAATAATAACTTATGATCGCATAAGTTTAATAACTTATGATCGTTACACAGCATTTTATTCTGTTAATAATTATATATGATAATTTCATACCATTACATACTATTTATAACGTATGATAATTGGATGACATTTAGCCCATGCTGCTGGAGCAGCTCAAGGCCGTACGCAGCGAGAACAAGGACAACGAACTCGAGCTCATTTACTGCAGAGGAGAAGAGGTCGTGTCGGTGAGTACCTCATCTATATTCTATTTGTTTATTCTATTTGTTCATTATATTTGTTTATTCTATTTGTTCATTATATTTGTTTATTCTATTTGTTCATTATATTTGTTTATTCTATTTGTTCATTATATTTGTTTATTATATTTGTTTATTATATTTGTTTATTCTATTTATTCATTATATTTGTTTATTATATTTGTTTATTCTATTTGTTTATGCTATTTGTTTATTCTATTTGTTTATTATATTTGTTTATTATATTTGTTTATTCCATTCTCTATATTCTATTTGTTCTTCTTGTGTTTAGTACTGTTTCTTATTGATACCTACTATTTATTCGAACTGGCTGTTTTTACCCCACTTGAAAGTCTGTAAGTGAACGCTTGGGTGCAGATGAATCAATAAGTATTTAAAGGATACGAATATTTTTTGGGCGATTTTCACTTTCTTCCTTGGTTTTATTTTCTAGATTGAATATATCTCTGTATAATATCTATGTAGTATAGTATAAACAATTTCCTCACGTGTTTGCATCAAATTTCTGAAGGCAGACGTGTTAACGTTAAACACGTGCCTGACGCAGTTGGTGCGTACAGAGATTTTGAAGGTAGATGCCTGACGTAATTGATGCGCACAGAGATTTGAAGGCAGATGCCTGACGTAATTGATGCGCACAGAGATTTGAAGGCAGATGCCTGACGTAAAGACTGGCTACCGACTGGGCAAATTTATGCATTGCGTCAATAGACCCGATGCTCACGTAATATTCTATTTTGAACACATTATAATTTCATGTCAATTTATTCTAATAATAACTTATGATCGTTACACAGCATTTTATTCTGTTAATAATTATATATGATAATTTCATACCATTACATACTATTTATAACGTATGATAATTGGATGACATTTAGCCCATGCTGCTGGAGCAGCTCAAGGCCGTACGCAGCGAGAACAAGGACAACGAACTCGAGCTCATTTACTGCAGAGGAGAAGAGGTCGTGTCGGTGAGTACCTCATCTATATATTTATTTATTCTATTTGTTTATTCTCTATATTCTATTTGTTCTGCTTGTGTTTAGTACTGTTTCTTATTGATTCCTACTATTTATTCGAACTGGCTGTTTTTACCCCACTTGAAAGTCCGTAAGTGAACGCTAGTGTGCAGGTGAATTAATGAGTATTTAATGGATAAGAATATTTCTTGGACAATTTTCACATTCATCACAGGTTTTTTCCCAGATTAAATATATCTCTGTATAATATCTATGTAGTATATTGTAAACAATTTCCTCACGTTTTTGCATCAAATTTTTGAAGGCAGATGTGTTAACGTTAAACACGTGCCTGACGCAGTTGTTGCGTACAGAGATTTTGAAGGCAGATGTGTTAACGTTAAAGGCGTGCCTGACGCAGTTGGTGCGTACAGAGATTTTGAAGGCAGCTGGTCCCACAGATGGTGGCGAGCTCGGCGACGGAGCGTGACAGTTGGTTGCACAAGATCAACGAAGCGCAGCGTAAACTGCGCGAGGCGCGATCCCTGCTGTTCTCGCGCCTACAGTCCGGTGCGTGGAGTTTTTTGTTGATCAATAATCAATAGAAGATCATATAATTAATACTCTAGGGGGATTATATATTGATTAATACTCTAGATTATATAATTAATACTCTAGTAAAATATAATTAATACTCTACGCTAATCAGGGTCTTCGATCACATATTTACACATTAATGGTAGGATTGAGTCATATGGTTATAAATAAATGGCAGGATTAGGTCATTTAGTTGCTAATCAGTAGCAGGTTTGGATCATATGTATGGTTAATAATCAATGGCAGAATTTAGATCATATAATTACAGGATTAGATCTTACAATACTAAGGCAGGATTAGATCATATTACTGCTAATCAACGCTAATATTTTACCATAATTAGACGAGTGGCCGAGCGAGCGCTGTTGTGATGAATATATATCCGATTAATTCTGTCATACAGAAGAAAATACAGAAAATTTTCAATGCTTCCCTGTATGACTCATGATGCTTCGGCGATTTACGATTTATATTTTCTTGCTTCAATAGATTCATTAAGTATCAAATAATTCCGTTACCTGGTCCACCAGTGTGAATAATAATCCGAATTTATTTATACTAGCTTACAGTATGCGATCAGGACAAGGTGTTGAATCCAAAAGTTTAATGCACGCTTGTAAAGCGTTGCAATTGAATGATTATACAACCAAAACATTAGAGGAAAAGCTGGAATCCAGCTGTGGTTATTTACATTTTTATTAGCATTATTATTATCTCGGTAGTCATCCTAGTTTATTCGATCAACTATTTATATGACGCTATTTTTCTTAGTTTTCTGTGTGTTTTTTTTCAGTGTTGGTTATTTGTAGTCATTCGAATTTTACGGGTTCAGTTCAAAATTTTGTTTGAATACATTTATTGCGAGTTTTTCCCATTTGTATTTTTTTCGTTTTTGGTTATGGCTAAAAGTTGTTTAGTGCGACGTCTGCGGGTGAAATTCAACGTCGCCAATGCATTTGTGTGCCTGACTATAATAATAGCTAAATTATGGGAAAGATTTATATTATAAAATGTTAGTGTCGACTTGGTCCATTGAAGAATTCTATGTTCAAGGTTACGTGGTTTGCTCTTCCATTCTACAACATCCTTCAGTTACAATAATTTTGGGTCTCTATTTTCAGTCAGTGATCTAATAACCTTATGCGTTATACTACGATTCAATTTAATTCTGGGCTTCTCGATTGATTTTCTATAGCTTTATGTACTTTTGTATGCTATCGCTTTTTGTTGTCGAATATATTGGGGTTTCTTCCCAACCTTGATTAGAATTTCTTTGAAGAGAGCCTATGAATCGCGCTTGCATGTCGGTGCAGTTCAGAAAAAATGCTTTTGATTTTATTCTACTGTTTTCGGTAATTATTTATTCCCTTAATATATATATATATATATGGGATCATGTCTATGTGTGTCTATGCCTCATGATTTTACTATTCTGTGGTTGAAAACCTTAGAATCTAAACCAATGTGTTTGCTTCGATTCTACTACGTGTTACTGTGTACTGTGTTTACTGTGTGTTCACTGTGTTTACTGCGTGTTTACTATGTTTTTACTGCGTGTTTACTATGTTTTTACTGCGTGTTTACTATATGTTTGCTGCTCGCGGTGGCAGAGGAGCAGCAAGGTGTGGTTGGGCGTATCCTGGTCACCATCCTTCACGCCAACCATGTGCCTGCGGTCAACCACAGCGGTAAGTTCCACCAACTTTTATTCAGTATACAGATTGTATAAAAAATATAACTCAGTACTCACTGCAGTGAGTGACAGAGAGCGCATTTTCTCGTAGACAAAAACGTGAAGTCACGGACGGACGGACAGACAGACGGACGGACGGACATGGCGAGCACGATAGTGCATTTTTTCCATAAATGAGAAAATACGCTAAAAAGAATCGTCCGATTTAGTTAAATTCTATTTTTGTATTCTATCTAGATGTACCACCTACAACGTATTGTTGGAACGAGGAAACACTTAAGTTTACATGGTTTCCCCGAGGTACGTTACTAAAACGCGCTTCCGTTATTTAGTGGAACTGAATATTTGTGATCTCGTGAATCGTCCGCGCACGAAAAAATTGTTGGATGACCGAATCACTGGGTCGTAATTAAGTATGATTTTTTCTCGTTTATTTGCTTGTGCTACCAGCAACAGCGAATCATCTGAGGAATCTTACATATCAACAGCCGTAGTATCAACAGCCTTAGCCATGCTCTCGTATGAGTGAGCGGACCAATTAGATTACCGTATAGTTATGTGCCGAGCATACGAAAGTAGAGACAAATTGAACATCTTTGAAAAGGTATGGAAAAACTTCTTGGGCCTATCATTCAACCAAAAAATGTATGTATGTTTACTTGTGTATGTTTAACATTATTTGAAATATCGACATTCCGAATTCGACTATTAATTTTGATTTATCCTGAACTATTGCATGATGATCTTAGTGGCATTGTTGTAGGTTTCACTTATTTTTTTAAGACAATGATGATGGTATTTAAAGAATTTTAGAAAATCATTGCATCGTTGAAAAGAAAATGCAGGAATTATTTATCTAAATTATTGCGAAATTAGTCGTTATTCTCATGCAGTATTACTCAAAATTACCTCGTATCTATTGTATTAATAAACCAAAATAAATGCGTCGGAATTCATAGTGTTCGTTTGAGAACAGGCCACTTAGATCTATGACCGCTCATGTCTGACTAAATTTGACAAGACTTAACGAATTAACCTCAGTTTTAATAACCTAATTTGGTGCTCAACAATTTTCACTGAGAGAATAGATCTTCAGTGAATGTGGTGGTACCGCTGCTGGACTGCTTTTCTTTATGTGATGATGACTTTACTATGAACACTTAACATTTATTGTACAGTTACCATCATTGTACAGTAGAACAGTTACCATCATTGTACAGTTTAACAGTAACATCATTGTACAGTTGAACTGTTACCATCACTGTACAGTTGAACACTTACAGTCATTATACTATCATGGTGTTATAGTGAGCATCGCACGCTCAAGGTAAGTCATCATAAATTTTGTTCGCTTTTTCTCTTCTTTATTTGCAAATTCTGCGTATTTGTTCCATTTACTGCTTGGGATGCTGTGCTCTATAGATGTTTTTGAATTTTTGAACATATTTCTTCGTAAATTTTATAGTCCAAGCAGACGTTTTTCTCCATCATTTGCCCCTTTGTTTCTGTTGAATTTTGGGATTGCTGCCGCCGTTGAATATCTAATGTGTGGTTATGGTCATCTTTTTTTTCTGAATAGTTCTTCAAAATCAAATGTATCGGATATCCTTTCTGAAAACCTTCCTCGCGCCAGAGTCACTAGATTTCTAAATACTTCATTGCAGTATTCTTGCGTAGAGCCGTCTGAATAGTATTCATTTTTATTACCCTGAAGCGAATATTGTATAAAATGATATCTCTGTAAAATAATATCTCTTTCCATGCGTTCAATAATTAACTGTAGAAAATGTAGAATAAAATATATTATTACGTACGTAACACATTCAATAATTTATCCCAATTTTGAAACCAACTTCTCGCTGAAACATAAATTTTTGTAAGCCTTTGATGAAAAGCATGATATTTTAAAAAAGATTCCAATTCAGTATGGGAAATATTCACGAGTTCCGGCTTTCTTTGAGTCACCCCAACGAGATGACTACGAGCTCATTAAGAGCGGCCTACGCTGCCGATATTTTAGTATACTTTCGTTTATTTCTGTTTGCGTTTCATGCATTATAATTTTATTGCAAATACTGGTTGATGTTTAACATTTACTTCGTGTATTCACACTAATCTCCTGGGATATGTTTAAGTTGGGTTACAAAATAACGTGTTTTGATTCTGTTGATTATTTTTCCTAGTTGATCAATTATTTCGTAAATTTACCTTAACACTCGCCGCAAATTAATGCGGGATTATAACCCTAAAAAGCTATAATTACGACATGGGTCCGAATAAGTGAACTCAGTTCATGTCACCTTCTCGATGTCGCATGAAATATATTATTACTTTTTTCGTTCAAAGTAGCCTGCGTTAAATTCTTAAATATTGGAAACACATTTTAGTGTTCTATTACCTTTAAAATCTCATTAATAAAAGTAATGTTTACGCTCGCGACCCTACATACATTTTTGTTGTGTAATCATTGGAGATGAAGTCCTAAAATTTAACTCACTGCTGCTGCTTTGTTAGACTTTGCATAGAACATGAATAACGAAACAATTTTCAGAGTTCGTTGACATTGATATTTCATTCGTCTCCGTCAAATTATTGACGTTGTTGACGTTAATATTTCGTTCGTCTCCCCATAGGTTTTCTCAACAATTGGTTACCTCATTAGCGACAATGCCTTAAACAATTAAAACAATCATTCTCATACGTTGATAACTAACTCGTGAATTTCGTATTCACTCCGCGCATTTTGCAATCTCTGTAAATTTTGTATTCACTCTCTGCAATCTGTTCTAATGAAGTCATGTTGTTGAAAGGCTGTCCAATTAAGCTATCGCACCTTCATTTGTGAACATCATTGTAATAAGCTTCATTAGTTACCCGCATTGTTTTCTTGTGCTTCGTATTAACCCTTCATCATCTAGTCTTTGCATGTGCTTTGTTGCATGTCTTTGTAGTACGGAAACGACCTCCTAGTGGCATCGTCAGGGTCGACGTCGTCAAAGGCTTTCTGTCCACGCTGGACAAAGGTGAGTTTGTCAATGCCTTCAACTAATAAGAGCTAATCAATATTATGACCCGTAATAATAATTAAAAGACCGTGAAATCCTTGCTCAGGAAATTTAACTTAATTTTTGTCATCGACTTCATGAGGCGTAATCGCGTGCCTAATGGGCAAGGGTAAGTTCAACCTCGGCTAAAGAGAGCTGGTCAATATTATATCTCGATCGTAATAATTAATGTTTAACTGGAAATCCTTACTTGGGAAGTTAAACTTACTTTTAAAATGTTTTTTATCGACTCCATGAGCTGTGATTGCTATTCCATCGCGTCGAAGAATGCACTTGAAACATGAGAAATGGAACATATGTTCTATTTTTCATTATTTATTCCGCAACAAGTCTGGGCGCGAAGTCGGAAATTCCATGAGGTGGTCTAATTGTTCCTAAAATTTCGGATCCCGTCTAAAATTTTCTTCATGAAGATACGATAAAAGTCTAAAAATTACCTTTTATATCTTTTGGGTCATGCTTGTCAATTGTTGTTTCATGTTAAATGGCAATGTTGCGAACTAGAACCATCCCTTCCGCTTTTTGACGAAATCTTTCATTTTCTTAGATGAAATTGAAATTCTATCGAATAAATGTAATCGGAGACCTGGTTAAAATTTTGGTAAAATTATTGTTATCGAGAATGTGAAAACGATTCGCTCCGTTTATCGACTGATATCCATTGACCATTGTTACTTTTTTCGATTGTCTGGTAGTTGCGATTCATCATTTTTCAACTAATGAACATTTCAGCGTCAAAAAACTTCTAAACTTATTATATGGACAAAAACCTCAAATGCATACGATTGTGACTCGTTTTCTCTAATTCTCATGATAAATTATAGATATTTTATTTCCGAAAATTTGCTTTGAAGAAGATTTCCTGTATTACGTTGTGCAAAGAAATATATGACCAGAAGCTGATTTCAGTCGGGTGGCCTAGCAGACCCAGAATAACTTTGCGCCAAGTGTAGCGACTCAATTGGGTAGAAGCCTTGGCGGTACCCGAATATTATTAGAGCAAATAAGCCTTCGAACTGTTCAGACCGAAAGGATGCATCGAATAGAGAATTCAAACCACAGATGAGTTTGTCAAACTCATAAATTCTTTGAGTAATTGATGAGTCAAACCCATAAATTCTTTGAGTAATTGATGAGTCAAACCCATAAATTCTTTTGTATAGTTGCACGCGGCAAAATATTGTTCTTGTCGTGATTGCCACAGAAGTTGCGCCACCTCAATTCAGTCATAGTAACGTGGAGTCGGGATTGTCGTCAGATGAGCCTAAAGCTCCTGATTTAAAGGGGGGATATTTTTTCATTCAATGAAGGGAGTTTTTCCTGGTAATTACAGGTACGCTTCCCATGCAACCTGTTGATGTACTCAGAAAATAAATGGGTTTTATCCTCGTATGGATGTACTTAAATTCGTACTCGCAGCATGGGAGAGAGCAGACATAGCTCTGATTACTGCTTCATACTTTAGCCTGGCCAAACAGGGTCAGTTTGACCCACACAGGAGCAAAAAGTGCATTGATATCTGGAAAATGGGCCACTCTTTCCTCTGAGTGCTCTTGAGAAATTAGCGGATCATTTATAGAGTTCGTGTGTAGGTATTATGTGGTATAATATCTGAATGAAAGAAATCTCATTGATCTTAACGTAGCTTTCTGTTTAAATTCATTTAAGTGTAATGCTTAGCTGGGACACTAAGACACTATTTCTTATCACAAAAAATGTACCAACTTAAGTTTTAAAATAGAAGAACATACAACCGAATGATGGTGTTTTTTGAGCTTACCGCCTCGAATATCGTTGTTGTGCGCGAAGGCGAGAACTGCAAAGTTTTTCATTTCACAAGTTTTCTGAAAGTATAGAGATTTGTGAGGAAACTCTTGGCGACCCCTTGTGTTCGTGGCATTGAAAACTTTTTCTTTCTGTTCCTGAAAACTTTTCTTTTGATGACCGGAAACTTTCTACGCCAAGGATATGTTTTTTCTGAAGCTTCGGAGTTGCCTTTGACAAATGAATGAAACTTCATTGAGTTTTATTTACACGTTTTAGAATGGTTTGCAGTGTTGTATCTGAATCGTATGTATTCTTAGAATATTATGGCAGCTGATATTTGATAAATATTATGCGGCAGAGTCGTGTTTCCAAACCAACAAATCTAAATAATAAACTGAAACTCTTGCCGCTTTGGCATTTCTTCCAATTCTGATGATAACTTATTTGAATGGTATTACATAATTTACGAATTTTTTCATATTTGCCGTAAACCAAGGCATGAAATTGTAAGTTTCCGTACTTACTATTCCTCATTAATGAGTCGAGTTGTTCTGCGTCTGTATGCAAGTATTGAATCGTTTCATTGTTTAGGTCGAGAGAGAATAATTTGACTATAGAGCGGTGCACTAATTGGCTATTACCGCTCATTAACAATCGTGTACCTCATTAGTGACTACATACTAATGAATTTCTCTTAACAACGATGTTTTGGTATGAGCCAAGTGCTTATGAAACGATTATTACAAAAAATATTTACTAACTCATTAGCTTGTGACCCTCACTGCTTCTCTGGTATAATCAATAGATGCTACATATTAGCAGATCCGAGTTTTTCTGCACTGCAACATAATAGGCGATGTGTGCATGTGATACGCCTGAACTTGCTCAGGCGTATAATTTCCTATGGCGACGCCTAAACTTGCTCTACGCGTATTGTTTCCTATGACGACGCCTAAACTTGCTCCAGTCGTATTATTGTTTATCTCGATGCCTAAATTTGCTCCAGGCGTATTATTTCCTATGTCGCAGGAAAATCTTTTGTTTATTCTATTATTGGCACCCAGGTTGATGGACTTGCCTTTAGACACGCGTTTTACACCTTGGTTTAATAATGAATGTATTATTTTCCTTTTTGTTTATGAGTAATTTTTTGTACCTTTAGGTGACAAGACGGAAAGTTTCTGCGAAGTGAGCTTAGGTTCTCAGGTGCGAGAGACCGGACGCTGTTGCGGCCAGAAGCCTCACTGGGACTCCTCCATGCAGTTCTACATCAAGAGTCTCAGCGACGACCGGCTCTGTATCACACTTATGCTCAAGGGATACTTCCGACCTAACGGTGAGTGTGCCTTCCAAATAACACTTCCTGAAACAAGAAGTGTGCTTGGAAGTGTGTTCGATTGAAACAAGAAGTGTTACTTGTAAGTGTGTTAGATTGAAACAAGAAGTACACTTTGAAGTGTTTGATTGAAACAACAAATGCACATTTCAGTATGTTGGATTGAAACAAGAAGTTTACTTTGAAGTGTGTTACATTGAAACAACAAATGCACATTTAAGTATGTTGGATTGAAACTATAATTGTACATTTAAGTGTATTGGGTCGAAACAATAAATTTACATTTAAGTATGTTGGGTTGTAACAATAACTGTATAACTGTTCATTGATTGTATAGCAAAGAATATTTTGTATAAGTTTCTGTTGTGTTAAAGTGATGACGCGTATAACATTTGTTACAAGCTGGCATGTAGAAAAATTAACTCTCATTATTATTTTCATCTTGCATCGAGTTCAGTAGTAAAAGCCAAGATAATCGTGTAACGACAACAAAAAATTTGTATTAAATAATGTCCATTTTACAAGAAAGAAATTAAGAAACTCTTCTTTATAATAAAACACTAATGAATTTAACAGCAAGCTTTAAACCGCCATACCTTCCTGCTTATTCAATCACAGGGAACAACATTGATAGCGAAGAAAATATGTAGATTTAGGAGGGATTCTTAAAGCGATTTACGGTCCTTCGATTCTGCGAAAATGTTCCCGGTGGCGGCGGTATCACAAATACAGAAACAAATCGCAAAATTCGACGCAAATTGTGCCACACATAAACAAATGTTGCACTAAACTTGATCGTAGATTCTGTTCCCTTGAGAACTATTTACTCCAATGCCCATAAAGGATCATGATCTGTGATATAGTGAAGTGCGATTTTGTCCGAAAGGCGATTATTTAAAGAGAATGTTGAATATAAAATATTATTATTATTGAATATTAAATATTAAGTAAATTAGGTACTGACAATATCTCAACTATCCTATGTTATATTGTTGTATTGTATATATATTTTACTTTATTACGATGAATCTCATATAAAAGGTAAGTCAAATATCGAAATTAACGAACGCTTGGCCACTATATATTCTAATTTACTAAGTCATTGGAATTAAATGCAGTATAGAAATTAATTTGCAGTATCTGTTCAATTCATTTGACCCCTGACAATTCAGTTTTGTCAAATGCGAAATTAGAATATAAAGCAATATGCATTCACTTTGTTAAAGGCAAATAAATAGCATGGATACGAAATATCTCCAGGATATCCATGTCTGAATACGTTTGGAAGCGAGCTTATATAAATCCAATGACAATTATTGTCATTTATTTGGAATATCATACGGAAAAAGGTCGAAATGAGTTGGCTGGAAAGGCTGGTAGAAATAGAGCAATATAGTGTTGGTACGATGGCAGTTTAACAATTAAAGTTTAAATTGAATTTAATTAGAAACAAACGTTGTTTGGCATTGTTAGGAAATTTTAGTCAGGACAGGAATTCTCGCAAGCGGTGTCAATTATTCCTGAAAATAAATCAGTGTAACTATCAGAATGAAATGAGGTGCCTTGTTAATCTCAGTGTTAAAAACGACCGTATTTTTAGCGCATTTTCTCATTTATGGGAAAAAGGCACTATTGTGCTCGCCAAGTCCGTCTGTCCGTCCATTCTGTCTGTCTGTCTCTTCGTCCGTCCGTCTGTCCGTCCGTCCGTC